TATTTGTATCAAATGGCAGGCGTCTTGATGGTTATCATTAGCCCTTTAGTTGACTTCAGGCTTCACAGAGGGGAAGGAACATCAAATTGAAAAAAGTCGAGAGGGGGGAACAGAAGAGTGTTTCAAAGATGTAAGAGACAAACACAAAGGTAGAACAAAGGTGAGGTGAGTACTGTGGAAATAGTCGAATATGGCATAGAGTGAGGTGATGGTAGTTTGAGGTGAGAAGTCAACTGCCAGTTAATAGACTTTTTTGCCGTATGAATATACGTTGCCCAGGGTGCACCCCGTGGAGGTAAGTCTATCGCACACCCAGATTAGTTAAGTAGAAGTTAGTATAGCGCTAGACTATCGCTCTTTTATAGGAATGAACGTTAAAGTACTAAACCACCCCCTAGATGGATGATATCTTTTATTTTTCTTTTACCGACTGACAGTAAGCACCCTCGAATCTCTTTTTATCGTGTTCCAGAGACCAATTTCAGGATGCGTGTCGTGCAGTCAAGGAACAAGAACCTACTCTGTGATATTGAGTTGGGAACATATCAAACTTTCTTCCCCCAATGAGCATAAATGTGTTCTGATTAAAATTTTATGAGTAGGTAATCGATAAATTTAACAAGTATATGAATAATATCTATCATTATTTGACTTGATGCTTACCATGGGAAGTAAACTCCAAGCGGACCTGACATAGCCCTCGATCGATGCACGACAGCACAGAACTTGGGATGAGAGAGTGGATCAAACTTGTTAACAGCGCTGAATTCACATTCAATTTGGCTTACAGCTCGAATGAGGTGCAGGATCAACTCTCTATCTCCTTCTGTTCCTGGTTCACACCCTCCTCTGTAGTCACTTGCAATAAGGCAAACTCCGTCATTTTCAAAACCTCCTACCAAAGATATGACGTCATCAAGGGCATGTCTTCTTTAAAAGTATTGGGATATACTTAATATCTTGAAATTAAATTAATAACTTTCAACCTTGAAATCAGGTTATGCAAGTAATATTATTCAAGGCAGAAAGTGACATTCTTGATTAAAGAAAGCTTCTATTGAAATTACCAGGAGCGGCTAGACAACGAAGCATTTCATCATTGGCGTGCTTCTGAGATATCTGTTTCAAGCACTGAATTTCATAGAGAACCTGAAATGGAAGCAAAGGACTTCAGTAACTGCAAATATTAGTCAAAGCGTCTGCAAATATGAGTCCGAAAAGAGTTGCATTCACACCAGTTTCTACTTGGCTTGTAATTAAAGTGCATACAAATTACTAGTTGGTTCCACGAGTATATTTTTACTTTAAAATCTACCTTTCCAACTCTTTAAACCTTTAGGGAAAGCCTTTGCCGACATTCGACTTGGAAAGGAGATAGTAGTATTGGCATGGAACACCCTTGAGGGTTCTAAGTGCGGATCTCTAAGTGAGCACCAAAAGGCATAGGCAGTAAGATTAACATCATAATTCATTGTGCCGCTAACGCGTACACAAAGGGCTCTGGTGGCTTCGGGTCACTAACTAGAATTTGTCCATAATTTGAGGACGAGATTTAGTCTTACTAACTTTCTATTATTATTTATGCCAAGCAATTGACTAGTCATACTATTTTGATCGATTTATAAATGCAAACTCTTTTTTTTTCATTTATTGCAAGATGCTGCAATACCTTTTCGTGGTGAAGAGGGTGGGGTTGGTAGAAAGATGGAAACGGAGGCAAGGATCAGAATATTATTAAAGTGCTATCAAAAAATTTGCAACAACCATTAATCTCCTACCCCATCCATTACAATTTTATACTCATTTTCTATATCAAAAGCAGTCGTCCTTCACAATACTCCAGAGGTCGGGTAAGTTGGAAATTTATTAATTACTAAATATAAGCGCTTTTGCATGGTTTCTTACCATGTTACCTGAGAGGGGAATTGACCAATTAACACTCATTTTGTCTACTTAATTTTACGAAATTGTATTTCGCTGTTTTGCAAAACTTTTCCATTTTAAGGTCGCTTTTGCACTCCAATACCAATGAAATGAGTGGAATATGTGAACAGGTTATCCTTGTTATCATTTGTCACCTATATACTAAGTCTATTCGATCTCCTTACGGAGTTGACTGTACATTAAGGTTGTTTCAATAAATAGAACTAGACACAAAAGGCTCATCTTTAGTCTAAATATGCATTTAATAAAGGATTTAATACCTCTTCCCATACCTATGCTTAGCACTCACAATTCTATCGCACAAACTCCATTTCTCCATCCCACACACTCACCCCC